AAGTACAGGTTTCAGAGCCTAAAATTATCTGCAACCCAACTAACTAGGCTAGGAAACAATAATTATCCACTTTGACTAGTAAGTTTTCTAAGTAATCGCAAAATGTACGTCTTTACTACACGTGCAGAACATTTGGTCCGGATATGTAGGCGAGTTCTCTAGTGTAAGACGACTTCAAAAAGTCATCTAATTTAAGGAGAAAGAAGTCTGTCAGTCTCTTACTGACTAAAAGTCATTCCGCGATCGTCCTCGAAAAGAGGTATCCTTCAAAGTACATGATTTTCCTGTTAGTTATGGCCTTAGCATCGAACGTATGAATACCACAACTAGTGAAAATTATAAGAAAGACCCTTTATACATCTGCCTTGCCCTTCCTGAAGATTATATTTTATTTGCATATATTTTATGTAATGTCATCCTAGCACTGCTAACCTTAAACCCTAGTACGATGAAGCCATTCAAGTCTAAACTGCCTTGCCGGTCAGATAATGGTTTTGTGCTATTTATGTTTTATTATTGAGGAAACATGGTATGAAGTTAAAAGGACAGGGTTTGGCCTAACACATTTCCTTTAATTTGAGTGACGAGGGGGGTATCACTATGGTCAAGTCGACTATTTGTAGACCCTGTACACTTAGTTGCTCTTAAGAGTGTCATAAGAACTGACTAAGGGACCACACTCTTGGCAAAAACTGGATAAGACCCTCTCTGGTGAACCTGAACCTTGGAAACTATGATCTCCAACTATCCAAGTGCAATTTTTGGTTAACCTTCTTAGGTGGCCTTTCGGCTGTATTTCGGAGTAGGAAATCGTATGATGATGGAGTTTGACCTATAGATCCGCATTGCAAACGACTCTTGAAAGTTTTTCAGTACTTAAGTGTTTCACGATTATTAGTCAAACACAACGTAACTGCATCTTCACTTTTTCTTTAATTCCTCAATTTAATGAAGCAAATACGTACAAAAAACTTGTTTCAATAAGCTTGCAAGTAGCCTAAGTAGTTTTAATGTTTGCAGAATAATCTATATAGGTATACTATATAAATTGAGGTTCTAGGAGTGGCTACTACTTATAATAGTGTTATTGCAAGCTGAGGGCACTTATTACTTGACCTTGGGATCCTGGCAAATAAAGACAGATGTACCTACTAGTGTCTTGTATTGAATGAGATAGAAGTCATGTTTTGACGTAAGTATATTATGTAATATATACTAGACGAGTGATTCTAGTAATAACAAAAATATTGCATATTTTATTCGTGTTTATTCGGTGTCAGTATTATTCGTCGGACAATTCAGCAGCACTAGCTATACTGGTTGCAAACTGACACTTGCGTGCCTATCTTTGGAACGGGTCCACTTAAACTGGTGTGGTTCTTTCCTCAAAAGACCACTACAGAATAAGCTTGCACGGTTCTCTCTGGTCTGGACTTAGAGACTGACCTCTGAGTTTGTTTCGGCTTTTCTTTTGAGAGTAGTCAGATAGGAAGTCCCGGCTTCATCTAGTTTTTTTCCTATAATTTGACGTGTTAAAGGGCCGTTTTATGGCTTATTAGCAAAAATAAGTATTAGCTGTGAAGTACAATTTAGAAGAGTATAATATTATTGGTACTTATTGAGTAAAATCAGTAGAACCATTACTCATGACACTTTAATAATGTCTTTTATACATCTAGTTGGTAGATACTTGCAGTAAATTTCTGTCAGTATGTCTGTTAGAGAGGACATTCATTGTATAAAATGTCTAGATTACGTACCTACTACGAATCCTACTAATTAATATTACCAACGCTAAAGTTTGTAAGAATGGATGGATGTTAGTTACTCATTCACGTCAAAATTACATAACGGATCTGATCGCCTCGTCAGTTCTGCCCCATCTGTGGTGGTCTATTGGCTCCTTTTTACTGAGGTATAGTAAAGAATAGATTATAGTCTGGAATAACACATTGGCTACTTCTTACGAGCGAAGTCGCTGGCAGAAGCTAGTCGGTAAAATATCTCATGACTTCAACAACCAACTCGCAATACAAATAAATTGCGTTTATTCTGTTTATGACATTCGAATTATTATTATTAATTGTGTGATAAAAAATGTTTTTTTATGGGAAATTTATATTTTTATTTGTTAAACGAACACAATACATAGTTAATGACACCACGGAGTACATATGTAAACAAGATATGTACCTATGTATATATTTTGAACAATTAACCTTGGGCTTTGTACACAAAATACCATTATTATAACAATATAAACCTTTTTTTTAAATAAAGACTTATTACTATTATTTATTAGTATCAAGTTTTAGATACATTTTTTTTACCTAAATTATATATCGTCATCGGCATTCTAATTTTGAATTCATTTTTTTTAATACCAGTCTTCTTAATTACACATTTTAAATTATAATTGTGTGATTTAGGTGTTTTAAGTATCAAAATGTGGTTGGCTTTTGTTTTAAGTGGCATTGCGAATCAGGAAGTAAATTTAAGTATAAAAAATCAGTGTTTATTTTTTTTGTATTTAATTAGCTAGGTTTGTTGTGTGGCCAGTTTCTTTGGTTGAATTAGCAATTTGAATTAAACATACGTCTTTGATACTGTTGCAACACAATTTCGTTTTCTGTCAAGGTTACTGGTAGGTGATAAGTGATATAAGAAGGATTAATTAAGTCAAATAAGATACGAGGTGTAAAAACTTTTTTCTAATTTGACTTTCTTACAGCGATTCAGTGAACGAGCTTACGTTCATAGAAACCTGAATGTTTATAGGAGTTCCAAGTCCCTTTTTGTAAGTAATTAGGGATTTAAGGATTGGAGTTTCTTTGGATTGGAGATAGGGGTATTAGCTAGCTAGGGAAATTGTTAGAAGTCAAATCATTTAACGTACATTTCCAGTCAAGAAAAATAATATATCCAAAAGTTTAACTTTGTGTGTTAGATTGTCAGTATTCTTTAGTAAAGCTATTTGCTTGTTCTAAAGTGTGCAAAGAAGAACGAGCAAGAAACGTCATGGTTACTGAATACGAAAGTCTCCTGTATAAAGTTATTTTAGACTAGTTTGAGCCCGGGACCTTATACACGTTATGTCACATAACATACCATGTTATGTGATATAAAGTAGTCTATGTAACATATGCTGCCTGTATGTAGTGTGTCACCTATCTATATACCAAATTTCAACCAAATCAGTCCAGCTGTTTTTTCATTAAATAAAGGCAAACATATATCCAAATATTTTTTTATAACTTTCACAATTATAGCATTAGTAGGATATAGGATAGTAGGATTAGCAGAGAGCATGTATACTAATTATTTTATGTCCTCGTACTGTTATAGATTTCTCATACTTATTTAGGTAATTGCTGTTACTATTGCTTCACTTGCATCCTAAGGCTGTCTATAAATACTAACTAAGTGCTAATAAAATAGAGTATGCAACTACTAATGCATATAATCTATAATAGCAGTTATTTACTGCACTAGGTATCTGGTAGCATAGTTTATTATGTGTAGCCCGTTATGTTTCTTATTACTTGTTTATATATGTAGTTTTCGTATTTTTTTAAAGTTAGAGTCCAAGTCAATTCATTTATTTCAAATAGACCGCTATAGGCATTTGAACGTTTAACAAAATATCAAACCGTTTATGAGTCAATCTGTCGGTCTGTCCTCTAGTGAAGCTACTTGCTTGTTTCTAAGTTTAGAGGTTCGAAATTATATGGCAAAAGTAGGTCAAAATAAAAACTTCACTAATAATATTAGTTCTGGTACGACAACAAGCAACAGTAAGGTTTTTTTCTTCAAAAATAACCAGTTTTACCTTTTTGTTGCCTGCTGATTTTGACAAGGTAATTTGATTTTTTTTGTCTCGATGTCTCGAACGTGTTGCTAATTATGTTGAAAATATGATAATTAATTCATCACTTGTCTGTTCTAAGATTTATTTAAGTTTTACTATAATACCAGCTTTTGTTCGTGAACAAGTTTTATAATTTATTGTGAGAAATAGTAATAGCTGTTAAATAAATGTATGCATTTTACAGTATATGTTTATTTTTTAGCCTTATAGCCTCTAAACTGCGTCTTACTTTTTGCGGCGAAAGACTAAGCTGGCTTAAATTTAACATCACTAAAACCACTCCAATGGCTACCCTCAGCTCCTGTAAAAGGCACGAGTCCATCAATAGGCCTAATCTAGTACCTATTTCCAAACAGAATATTTTTAAGAAATGTCTATTTCAATAGATATCAAAACAAAAAGTTGACTGGACGATTGCCGCGATGGCTGGGCAACGGGCTGCCGCACAACATGTCGCGGCTCGATTCCCGCACGTAACAACTCTTTGTTTGATCCACAAATTGTTGTTTCAGGTCTAAGTGTGATGTATATGTGAATTTTATGTTTGTAAATTCACAGGAGGGTAATCTAGTGTGGGACAACGTCTTAAAAAAAGTACGAAAGAAATGGGTACGTGTGGGCTTAGGGATTTTTGGCTTTTGTGAAAATCATCAAGTAATAGTTCATCTTTAGTTACATTAATTTCCCGGTCAAGGTAGGGAACTTTTAACCGTACTAGAGCAAGTACTAAATCGAGGCTATTTAATGTGGTAGTGACAACTTGTGCAACACTAGGGATCGGATTACCGATTTATTTATGGATTGAATATTACAAGTTCACAATTTTATTGCCAATGTTTCTGGATTTTCACAATTTTATTGTCAATGTTTTGGATTAAAGGCCCAGAAGGGTCGCGACTCGCTTTTAGTTTTTGATAACGATAATTTATTATTTACATATTTACTTACAATTTCTTCACTATTTAATGGATGTTACTGTCATATAAATCTTCCTCTTTAATTAACCTAACTATCAATAAAATCGCATTAAAATCCCTAGCGTAGTTTTTCATATCGAAGATAGGATCTAGGGACAAAGAAAGCGACTTTGTTTTATACTATGTAGTGATATGTATTTCGGTTTTATTTCCAGAATCAAGATGGCGGGTGTAGTGGTACCGATTACAATCGAAGAAGAATACAAGAAGAACCCTGACATATCTCCAGAAGACATCAAGAAGTTACGAGACTGGCTCAAGACACAACCGCATCTGCCGGGACAATATTTGACAGGTGCGTTCTTAGACATTTTTCTCTTATTTGTACGACGAGTCACTAGGTACCGCCCACTGCTTCGTATAAGCTGATACTGCTTGATAGGAAGCCTCCTACGCGTTAATCCAGGGTATCATCTAAACACAATGACGATGTGGTTATATCCTCTTTGTCTAAACATCACCTACTTACATTTTTTTTTCAAATCGATCAAGGCGTTTGGGAGCCTATTTAATCAAAAAAAAAACAACAAAACAATCAATTGACAATCAAGATGATTCTGAAAAGAACTGTAGACTATCAGCAATTCTTCAATGCTTTGACTTTATGTGGTCAAAATAACCGACTTTTCCAAATGCGCTTGTAAACATAAAATAAAAGTTTTATTATGCACAACCGACTGAGTGCCGCAACTGTAATAATTTATTAATGATGAAAAATAAACAAGAAAACATAAAATTCTTATAAAAATGTCCACGGAAGTGAATCGTGATTAATGGAGTAATTAAAGCAGTTTATAGACAACGATGCTTTGATGCAATAATAACTACCTACTGTTTTTAATACGTAACTAGCTGTTGTTCTGAGCCACCGATAATAACAGCGTTAGTTGCCCTACTGTTAAAAATGACCTGACATCGCACTTGACTCTGGGTATTGTAGTTATCTGCATAATAGACCAATGTCTTCTTTTACCGTTCATCAGAAAGCTAGCTTCCGCACGCGGCTTTGCCCGCGTGGTATGTTGATAAAAACGAGAGCCTATTCCAGAGTTTATTCTTCGCCTGTGCCAAATTTCATACAGATCCGTCCAGCCGTTTTGGCGCGATTGAGTAACAAACATCCAAACCTTCAGACATCGTAACTTTCGCATTTTTTATATTTGTAAGATTTAACAAATGTCAGTTCTCTGAAGTGAAGACTTTTAATCAGGCAGCGACGCTTAACTTGGTTAGAAATCATATTTGATAATTTTAGGATACATTGGCTGAGATAATAGACCTAAAATATAATCGATCTTAATTGATTTGTCATAGTCATTACCATACCAAAAATCTGCAGGAAGTCACTATTCCACGCAAACAAATTCGCGGGCAAAAGCTAGTTCAATTATATAAAAAATCAATCTTAAGCCATAATCCTATTGTGCTTCCATCTTAGTCGACAAAGGCGACTTCTAGCGACTGATTTAGGTTCAGACAGAGGATGGAACGAAAGGAACTGGCAAGCCTCCCTTTCTGCGAACCGGTCATGATAACTATCGTATCCTCAGGGAAGTGACAGGTTGCAATCAAGGATTTTCGATTCAAAAAAAAATCTAAGGTGGAGGCAGATCGCACGAAGGAACGATTCTTTCACACTCCAGGAGTATGAATCATCAGCTCATCGCTCGACCATACCGAGCGGGCTGCAAGAGTCAGCCATCAAAACAAGGATGTACCGTGGCCCGGCTCAGAGAAGGAGAAAGGAAGGAGTGGTTTTTAGTCAATAGGAGTCTGACACTCTCTTTTACTAAAAATATCTACGTTTACATAGTTATTTGAATAAAACATAGGTATCTGTGTACATTTCATTTTTGAAAACTTCTTGTACATTTTATTTCACAAAACTTCTTGGAGTTTTATTTCTGTGGAGGCTTACTCAATGTATATTAACGTGAGTTTCTATTAACCTCTGATAACCTTGCAGTTATCGTTTAGTGATCATCTTATTCTATTGTTTATCATACAGATAATGATGTGTTACTGAACAATTAACATTGCTTCATGCATGACATTGCTGCACCGTTAGAGGTCGGTCAGAAGGAATTTCTTGGTGTCTAATCTACCTATTTACATAACTCTAGTACATTTGTAATTCACTTTACTCCTATAAGAGAAGTGTATATAAGTTTATAGTATAGTGTGGTAGATGATATACCTTTTGGGAATTAGGTATTTCAGGATAGAGGAAGTTAAGGTTTGTGGTGGTTTGTGGGACCATAGCGCCTCTATTTTTTTCCTAGATTCACGCGGCAATACACAACGCAAGCATTGTTTCAAGCGCTTTCTGAGGACGTCGTGGAATCATCCAGTTAAATCTGCCCTTAAAAAAAACGATCCTCCCACATTCGAAGTCCGAACAGTAGGTATTTTCATCTATGTCATAGGTACGTTTTCGGACAACGGGTGTGTTTTTTAATCAGTCAGAGGAGCGGGAGAAGTCATTTGATGATTATCAAAAAAGTCAAACAAATAATCAACTCACCACAAAAAAAATCTGGGACATATAAAGAATAATTGTTCTGTGCGGGATAGTACGAACTTGCTATGTTATATGCAACAGCCGGATACCTAACCTCTGAACCTAATGTGTATTTAACCAATTGTAGATTTTGTATAAACACGTTTCCAGATTTAAGTTTATGTACATAAAAAAATCACTGTCTACCTACGTATGCATAAGTCGATTGTAATTTTCATAATAACTTGTTCTTTAATTAATTACCTAAGTGAAGTAATTGAAATAAATAGATTCTTTGAAGGCGTTTAGGTATGTTGGATAGACGATACCGATAATTGTGTTTTTTATGCTGTGTAATTAATAATAATTCTTATTGACTGTAACTAACGTTGATTGATTGTTCTATTATGCTTGGCTAGCATACACGTGTCTGTTAGTTGATACCTCTGATATACCTACCTATATTTAAAATGCGGGAGAGCAATGCTTCGGCAAGAATGGTTCGGCTCGACCGGAGTGATACCACGGCCTCACACAAAACCGGCGTGAAATAACCAAAGGGTTGTGCAATCCTTCCCCTACCCCAATCCGTTCCCTTTCCCAAAATCCCCTCTGAAGTTATTGAAAAATGGGTGTCGGCAGCGCGACGCCGCCGCGACGCGCACACTTCTCGTGAACAGCTGAAACTAATAGCAATTGCAACACGAGTTACGAGTGCTTTGCAGGCCTTTTCAAGGGATTGGGGGAGGGCAAAAAGGATTGGGCGTCCCGGATCTCGAAGCAATGTAATTGAAAGTCAACATTATAGTCAGCGTAGTCTGGAATAGTCTGTATGATGGGATTTCTTTCATCATCATCATCATCAGCCCATAAGTGCCCACTGCTGAGCAAAGGCCTCTTCTCACATGGAGAAGGTTAGAGCATTAATCACCACGCTTGCTCAATGCGGGTTGGCGACTTCAAACTTATATTTAGAAATTATAAGTCCAGGTTTCCTCACGATGTTTACCTCCACCATATGTCAGTGGTGTCTAAATAATCATAGAAAGTACATATAACTCAAAAAAAGTCACATGGTCCTTACCAGGTTTCGAACTCGCACCTTCATGTACGAGAAGCGGGCTTCTTTACCTCCGGGCCACCACAACTTCTTCTTTTATATGAGATATTTCTATCTTATAGGATTTCTTTTATATGGGATAATTCAATTATTAAGATATACAATGTGAGGTGTTACGACTAAGGAAAAAAAACGGGTAGGCACCAAAAAATCAACTACATATTTAAAATCCATTGTTGTTACCTCAAGCTGCAAAGATCTAATCATTTTTTTTTATATTCAGAAAATGTTCTCCCTTCTTCCAGATGTAGACCTGCTGATCGTGTACCACTGCTGCCAGAAGAGTATGGAGGTGTCAAAGCAGGTGCTGGACCTGCACTTCACACTGCGCACACACTTCGTTCCCTTCTTCAAGGACCGCTGCTTTGACAAGAAGGCTGAGTTCGCTTTTACCACAGTGTAAGTGACAAAAATAGTTATTTATTAATTAGGTGACAATAATATTTGTGTCATCATCATCATCAGCTTGATTCCGTTGACTGCTGCACAAAGGCTTACCTAATTCGATGTTCAGCTCTTCTCTATAATGAAAATATTAATTTCTTTAAATACAAATACAGCTGTAGCAATATGTAATTAATAATACATAATATGTAATGTTTGATTATTTGACTGCACGGTTGGTGCGGTGGCTGGGCAACTGGCTGCCGCATAACGTGTCGCGGGTTCGATTCCCGCACGGAACAACTCTTTGTGTGATCCACAGATTGTTGTTCCGGGTCTGGGTGTGATGTGCATGTGAAATTGTGTGTTTGTAAACGCACCCACGACACAGGAGAAAGTCCTAATGTGGGGCAAAGTTTTATATAAAAAAAAAAATGTATGACTGATAAAAGAAAACTTTTAATTATAATTTTGCTTCTCGCCATGAATAATTGTAGAACAAAGAAATAGTGGAGCATTTAAAACCTGCCTGCACTGTGACTTTTATTATTTCAAAAACGTTGCTACAAACTTCGTGTCGTGGGCAAGCATAAAATTTCACACACAAATCACGCCCAGACATGGAACAACAATTTGTGGATCACATAAAGAATAGTTCCGTGCAGGAATCGAACTCGCGACACGTTGCACGGCAGCCCACCCATCGCGCCAACCGTGCAGTCAAATAATATTTTCGAGGATTTATTTCGCTATTCTTTGTCACTTTGAGTCTTATGGAAGCATGAAAAACTTTTATGGCGACGCGACGCGGTGCGAAAATAATTTGCGAAAATTTAGTTTCGCTTTAAAAATTAAGGTTTAAATTTAAAATATTTAATTGAATGGAGCTCTTAACAGTAACGTGGTCACCACGAAATGCTTATTTATTTGTTTTTGTTATACATAGTAAAAAAAATATATATATATTTTCCTCATTTTATAATTTCCAGATTATGTGCCCCATTACCCACGCCGACACCAGAGGGTTACCGCGTCGTGTACTTCCGCCTGGCAGACCCTGATCCACGAAACTTCAATCTACTGGAAGCTGTCAGGACTTTCATGATGGTCTTTGACATGTGGCAGTATGAGGAAGGTACTTGGCCTGGGTATGTTAACATTTTTACTTTATTTTATTTCAGCTCATGTAGTTATGTGAGGTAACTAGGTATCTCTTCTTGTTTATAAATTTGTGCTTGAGTGGTACAAAGGTAGAGCTAGTTTCTATTTTTCTTTTCGCAGCGCAATCGTGTGTAGTTTTACAGAGTAATAGAATCTAGAATTATACCTTTCGATTGGTAGCAAGCTTGACTATTATTAGCTACTAGTCAGAAATCTATACTAATTTAATTACTATAGTTACCAGTTTAGTTGTTTGAACGGCTCGAGTTCGAATTTTCCGAAATTAAAAACTGTGGCTATAGGCTATAAAATGTCAAGCTTTATGTCCAAAAGTGCATGTGTGATCATCACAAACCGGTTAATTCTAGAATTATCTGGTTTGTGGTGAACACTAAGTCTTAGGTCTTTGTTCACAAGTTGTTGACACAAGGTCGCTAATAAACGACGACCTGGCTCTTGGCTATCCAGCTCTTCAACAACAAAACAAGAGATGTCATTTATTACTGTGGTATAAACTCCAAGAGCATGCTAATTATTGTGAATGATTTGATTGTGTTTGTTCAGACCAAGAAAATATGTAATAAATTATTATTCATAACAAAAATTATGTCTTTTCATAAAGTATCCGGTTTCCGCGCTGGCGTGAGAACACCGAGTTTATAGCACTAGGAAGGACAAGACAGAATTTTAATTATTTCGTATTTTTATTTTTTGTTTGGCGTAATAGAGGAATAATAAATTTAGAAAGATATAATGGTCATTTTCAGGTAGGATTTAAGCTATGTTTTGGTTTAGGTAGATGTTGGATGTTGGCTTAAGTTTTAGATTAATTTAGGTTCTAGGTTTACGTTTCTTTCTCATAAAAAAATACGTATATTCTTAATCTAGGCACTGAGAAACACTTCATTTATTTAAACCTTAACAATACACGGAACATGTTGTAAAAATCAGTTATAATTAACCTGAGTTGGGACTGAAAATCGAGAAAAATATTTCTTTGATTGTGCTGTTCTTGATACCTACGTATTCAACAAGCTGTTGCTAAAACTTGAATCTAAGCATATACATGTTTCGGCATAATTATTATATTATTAATTTTATGTTTTGACAGATTCGTGATTCTTATCGACATGGAGAAAGCTACCCTGGGACACGTTGCGAGACTAGATCTCATGGTCGTCAAGAAAGTTCTATATTTTCTACAGGTATACTTTTCCTATTATAATTTTTTATTCAAAATTACTTGAGAAAACATACAAGATTCGTCCATAATTTAAAGTACAGTGCTTTGGAAAATTATATCGAATATTATTGCTTATGTACTTTAAAAGTTATTTAGTGGCTCATTTTCATTTACTGGCCCTTGTAAATTAGTAGCCTAAGTTTTTTATTTATATTTAAAATTATCATTGTTTATGACAGCAATTGAGTAGATGGATTACCTGATGGTAAGCAATCAGCGGTGCCCATGGACACCCGCAACCACGGAGGAGATACGGGTGTATTGCTGACCTTTTGGGTGTACGGGATATTGAAAATTTAGGTATGGGGGAGGGATATGATTGGGCTTCCAATAACAAGGAACCGTTCGGCGAAACACAACGGTTGTTCCACGATGGTTTTCGGAGAAGCCGTGGTATATCACTCATACTCATTCGTGCTAGCAATTTTAAAATAATGAATATTGTTCCAGGAATGCATGTTTGTAAAACTACAAGGAGTGCACTTTATGAATGCGCCATACTTCATGGATAAGCTGCTGTCGCTGATAAGGCCTTACCTTAGAAAGGAGCTAATGCACCTGGTGAACGCCCACCAGACTGGTGCAGAATCCATTGAGAAGCTCATCCCACAGAAAGCACTTCCTAAAGAAGCTGGTGGAGAGTACAAGGACTTTGATACTTTGAGAGGTTAGCTGACTTTACTGTATCGCTTAGCACTTTGAGACTTTGAAGATATACCTAACTTTGGATTTTTCTTTCTTTCTTTCCTTGGTACCGAACTTGTGTAAAATTATAACAGGAAAAAGTTCTTATAATTCATTCATCTATCTAAAAGATAGATGAATGAATTAACTATATTTTAATACTTATCATGCAAATTTTCTAACGATTTTTAGCTTTCCAAAAATTAGTCCCTGTTACTCTCATTCGAACTTGAAAACGAATTCCAACAATCAATATTTGATGTTTCTATCTAGTCTTCTTTTCTTTTTCTAACTCGTCTTTTAAACGACGACACGTTTTAATTACTGCACTGGTGTTAGCACAGTGTCTCCATAAATCCTCATCAGTCTCCATCAGTCTGTTTCCATTCACTGTTGCACTTCACAACGCCAAGCCATCAGACCACTAATGCAATGATGTATCGCAACCTGTCTTGGAGCAAGAGAAAGAACGGGGTGGTTTTCAGACAGTTAAAGTTTCATACCCCATCTTGCCCTACCTCGAAAAAGTCATTGGATGGTCCCCCCCCGCCCCTAAAAACCGCTATGCCACTGAGATACTAAATCTCATAAAATACTTACACTAGAGAAATGGTGTATTAAGTAATAATTTCTCTTACTTCTCTTACAGAGGAACTATTCAAACGTTTACGAGCAAATACGGTGTTTCTCCGGGACGAGAACAGACGCAGAGTGAACGAGTCCCTCCGACCTGCAGGCAAGCCCTCGCCTGCTGAGAAGGAGTTCGGTCTTCAGGGCAGCTTCAAGAAATTAGAATTAGATTAGGTCTGGGTTAGGGTTGAATTGCTAGGAATAAATATTTTATTTAAATTGATTATTGTTTCATTTTTCTAGTTTAGCCAGTCTGTTGGGGGTTTGTTATCTGGAATCCAAATAAAAAGAAGGTGGATTTTTTGAAAAAGAAAACGGTTTTGTAGATTGATTGATGGTTATGAACATGAATTTTAATGACATCGTCTAGCGAGACTTATCAACGAAATCTATATGTATAAAATACAATACGTACTACTACACAAAATTAATTAAATTATTATGAAGTAGTGTTTTATTACCATTCCTCAATATTTCGATGAGTACGTCTTTTAAGAAACGTTATCCTACCATAGTATTTTCTCTTATATTGGAGATGCATTTATACTCATTAAAATTTAGGATTAAATAATTAATAATTATAACTGGGGATCAAACCTGCTACTCCTTGCGCAACAGACAGGTGCCCAATCACTATTCCAAATGAATAGTCGTTACTTTATTTTTACTCATCTTAAAAAAAAAATGAGCAATGAGGTTAAGACGACAGCTTCTCATGCTCACATAAGATCACAAAATGATATATGCACGAGAACCGGGCACTTAAGCCGATGTTGGTTCGAAACCTGGCAAGTATCATTGTGACTTTGCCGAGTTACTTCCTAAACATATTTAGACACCACTGGCGGAGAAGGAAAACATCATCTGGAAAATTGGACTAATAAATTTATAGCTATTATAAGTTTAAATACACCAATCCGCCTTGAGGAAGCGCGTCGATTAATGCCCAAACCTTGTTAAAAGAGGCCTTTGCTTAGCAGTGGGCACTTAGACAGCTTGGCTGATGATGATGTGAGTATTACGGATATGAAACTTAGCAAGCACTACAAAGGGTAAAACAATTATACCTATACATCGCAACACTAAAATGTTATCAAAGCATAACCTCCCACTATTCAAATTTCAAGGACGCTCCCGTCATGACGCCATTTTGGATTTACCAACCGATTTAAATAAACATCATCATTTATTGGAACGTTTACACTACATACATAATTATAATGATTTTGTGATCATAAAGTCGCCACCGGAACAACGTATTATCACCTTTACTATATGTATGTATGTTTAATAAAATTTGTTTGTATATAAAATGGGGTCGGGTTAGCTCATGTCAGTCCTTGAAGTGACATCAAGATTTGAAGATGAAGTTCCTCGGATATTTGCTGGTCGTAATGGCTTTTGTGTTTGCCGTCGTGGTAAGTTTTGAAGGACATTTATGGTAGAAAGAAGTAGCTAAATATTGGATGGTAGAATAGAGGCTTCAGAAGCAGGTTCAGAAAGTAATGCTTACATATTTATATGATATAGATCGGCAAACGAGTAGACGGATTACCTGATGGAAAGCAATTGACGCCGCCCGTGTATACCCGCAACACCAAAGGAGTTACGAATGCGATTTCGGCCTTTTGGGGATAAGGGTTTCGAATATTCAAGGATTGGGAAGGGATGGGACAAGGATGGAATTGGGCCTCCGGTAACTCACACGACGAAACACAACGCTGCGCTTGTTTCACGCCGGCCGATTTTCTATGAGCTCGTTGTATCACTCCAGCCAAGCCAACCCGGTAAGTGTGGGAGAGCCAAGCTTCGGCACGAATGCTGAAGCTAGTTACACATTGGTTGGGTCCACAGGTAGTATGTGTATAAATCTATAAACTCAACTGATACTATCTGACCGGAGTTGTGGGCTAGTGCGATAATGTACCGCGGTCTCGGCCACGAGCAGGAGAAGGAACTGGTTGGTTTTTAGTCAGTAAGAGTCTGATACTCCCTTTGACACGTCCCACCGAAGTCATTTAATGATTCAATAACCTTACAAAAATATCTTTTCATAGATCTACAATTAATTATTTACTAGATATGACCTATGTCCTAACAGAATATAATGGAAATAAAATAATCATGTTCACAGGTTGGTATGACAGATAACCAAGCTGCTGGGTGTCATGGCGGTGGTGGTAGACCACCTCGACCACCCCCACCATCCACTACAATGGCTACCACTACTACTGCTGCCACAAGTAAGTTCATATTTATGGCGATCATATATGCATATGAGGAAATATGGTATGGAGATTGAATATCGGTGTTCCTTTAACAGCACACAGATATCTTCGTACAAATTTTTGTTTCTATTGAATATAAGTTATGTTAGGTTTTTTTGGGGAAGGACTGGGTCTCCCAAACGGGACACGAATAAATAAAGAAGAAGCTTATTATTTTGTTGTTATTTACTATATCATACTTTATGCAGATTTTATTTTGCAGATTCTTCAAGTGGATAGAAGATATTTAAGAAACCATTGGATTCGAACAATTAATTGGCAATTTTATATGTATAACCATAGTAAATTAAATAAAAGATTATATTTAAATAAAATTAAATCAATGTGTTTTACTCACTAACTTTATGCTGAAGTCATACATAACGTGGATGTCAAAGAACAAGGTCAGGCCTTTGGAAGGTGTCGGAGGGCTCGCACAGGCCCGCACAGGCCCGCTGAACAATACCGTAGTTTGCATCTATAGTCCATATTACTAATTTTTCCTCTTATTTGACAACATGGAATACGCATTTAGACCATTAGGAAGCCGTTATTTTTGAACGCCTTCCGGAAACTGATTCACTGATTGTTTATCGATTTTTGTGTTCATCACTACACTATTATATGTGGTTTCATTATTTCGTAAAATGACAGTAGCTAATGTCAAATCTGGAATCGAATTAAAATTCCAAGTATAATATATGGTCAAATTCAATATTTTTATCCAATGTCAAAAACGATACTTTCCTATGGAATTTGTATGACACTCCAAATAATGACGTCATAGTATTTTCGCCTTACAAAATGAATTTCTATTTCGTATTTTATTTCAATTTCCTAAATTGTATTTCTTAAAAAATATCGCTAAAAAATATCGAAATATTAGTGTATCGAGGAAATTACCCAATTTTAATTTGGACATGATGACAAATCAGCCTTTAATTGGTTTTGTATGTTCTCTAGAAATGACATATGTGACTCTAAGGACAATCACCGGTTGATGCAGGACTACTATGAAATTTGATAAAAAATTTAAGGTTATAGGTAAAGTCAGCTGTGGTCTGGTAGGCATAATAACTATGGAATACTATGGCCCCTGCCCGTGTTCAATATTGATACATACAGATAAACAGGCAGAGAGTGACTGGCAAAAGTTAGTTTCAAGGAGGACTGCCTATATCAGACCCTTGATCCATCCGCCTATCAAGGTGGTTGTCGAGGCTTTTGTGGACTAGCCTATTGGCAACGAGACAATGATGGGCACAAAGGTAGCTGAGTCCAGATTCCACATGTCGACAATCTTGTTAGCCAAGTCAAGATATTTTAAATGTTCTTCTGTTGGCGTATGTGTATGAGGAATGGCGCCATCGATTATCGTCGTGCGCGCTAATCGGTCTATCGCCACTACGTCAGGCTTATTGGCGATGTTTGCATTAACTGCATATCAATGTCAAAATAATTATAGAAAGTAAAAAAAACCTTGAAAATGACATAATCACTTATAGACCATCACGATTTTTTCTAAAAATGTACATTTGTTTATTAGTGACTATTTTGGCACCAACGGGCCGGCTTGACCGGAGTGATACAGCCTAACAGAAAACTGGCGTAAAACAACCACATCTTTGTGTTTCACCATGCGAGTGAAATTGCCCTATCTTGCTCTTCCCCCTTCCGTAATCCCTAAATTCACAAAGCCCCTTATCCCCATAAGGCCGGTAATGCAACTTTTCCATTACCGTTGCATTCCATTCACATGGGCAGCGTTAATTGCTTAACAGCACCAGAAGAGTTAGAATGTTGCTTGCATCTGAGGACAAGAAATTTGAGGATTTTAGGATTAAGGATGAGAAGAGGAGGAGTAGGCCCTGGTAATATAAAGCAAGTGTTTTGGAGCGTGAGGACGTGAGGACGTGGTATCGTGATAGTTGAGCCGACCCATTCGTGACTAAGCCATGAATCTCCTAAAATAAAATATCAAATTCGTTTGTGAAATCTGCAGGCCTGTCGCTGGAAGGACAGAAGGCCGATAATAGTAGGGGGCCCAGGATGCAAAATTTGTAGTTACTCAAGAGTCTTAGGGAGTAACTGGATTCTGAAGATTTGGTGATAGAAAGAAAAAATGGCTTAATGACATTTCATTCCTCCGGTGGGGGAAGGGGGGAATGATAGTTTTCTAAAATTGTAAGGTGTAACTTTTGTTTTGGTGCACGAGCGTGACAGGTATTAATAATGTATATTCTCCATGTATCTCTGACAGTGAAAATATTTTAATCTGCCGAATTGCGTGGTGGGGTTGGCTAACTAAGGGGATAGAAACGGGACCCGTTAAAAACTCTATTGCTGTTGTAAACCACGATGAAATCAGCAGATTTTTTAAACGCCCTTTCTTCGACATGACCTCTACCTTTTCCCCCCTAATCTGACGAAAACTGTATTTAGTTATTTTTTTTATAGTGTTATTCCCCTCACCCCGCTCGAGTAACTACCGAAATTCCTTCATGGGCTCCCCTACCTATAAGCCTAAAAAGTAGTCGAGTGGTTATTTTGTCGACCAACGACCAGAAACCGTAACGTGGGCAGGTCTCCTGCTAGGTGGATCGTCAGAGTCACGGGGAGCCAGCAGATGACAAGTTGTCGTTCGACTTATAGGACTAAGCGGGAGGCCTTCATCTACTGTAAATAAATTTCAGTAGGTACCATTAGGAAACATTCATATTGTAGAAGATGGATAATTACGCCACATTGTCGCGTACAAATAACTAAATAACAGTAAGCGGAAGCTAATATTCACAATAATTGTTATAATATCGCTCACCGGATGTACATTACTTACAAAGTGGAGTATTTTAATAGTTTTCAGCCAGTATATATAGCGAGGGTGTCCAGTAGGGCGTCAGTTCACGAGCATTCGCTGAAACATGAAGATTTTCG